ATAAAATTAACTTCTAAATGGAAATTTGCTCTGGATTGACTTTGTAAAAGGGTGATGCTGCAGATTTGTGCCACGTGTTGTGACTCATATATGCCATTACTAGCACAGTGCAACGAGGAAAATGATGTGATTTTTTAACATATATTTTGTGTCTTGTTGAACAGCATTTTATTAAAAGTTACTGCTAGTGTTTTAAAATGGGCAAAAGCCAATAGCTGCTACCTCTCTGGATTAATGCACCTGTGTTCATGTTTGGATAAGGAGAAGGTGCACGTCTCTAAACCAGCACAGTTTGTAAACATGGAGCTGTGTGACCAAATGACAGAAAGAGGGTGCCTTGGCTGTTAGCTTTATCGTGGGGCCGCTGTATTCCCCAGACTCTCCCAGATGCTGCATTCCTGGTGTGGAGCATGTCCATGTCCCTGCCAGGCTGGAGCAGAGCCGCCACGCCACCTTTTGGTTTAGATACAGAGAGCCGCCAAGATGGTCAGAGGGCTGGAGCACCTCCTGTATAAGGACAGGCTGAGAGAGTTTGGGTTTTTCAGCCTGGAGAAGAGAAGGCTCCAGGGAGACCTTACAGCAGCTTCCAGTGCTGAAAGGGGGCTACAGGAGAGATGGGGAGGCACTCTTGATCAGGGGGTGGAGGGATAGGATGGGGGGTAATGGTTTTAAGGGTGGTGAGGCACTGGAACTGTGCTGCTTTTCCAGCAGCTGTCTGGGTGGTTGAAGTTCTCCTCTCAGGATCAGGACCTGCAAATGTAATTCAGCATTGCCTGCAGAAGATTCAAACTACATACGGATAAATCAGCACAAGAGTTTGACACGGAAGCTCAGGCTGAGCGCGCCGAGCATCGCTAATGCCGTGGCCATGAATGGGGTCTTGAGTGGCACAACGCTGCTGGTGGGTGCTCCTGATGGCTTTGGAGACTAAACATATGGAAAGCAAGCCTGAGCTTTTCCCATTAAGCTGAACCCAAATGATTTTTAAATGCTGGCCCAGAAAGCCTGCTTCTGTGCATCCAAGGTTGTTCCTTTGTCCAAATAATAGAAAATAGTTGTGCACTGATGAAATAGCTGCTCTTCCCTAGGATGTGCTTAAACCCCCTTATATTAAATATGCAGCTGTGATTGTGGGTCTATTTCGATGTCAGCACAGCACGCACAGGGCAAACTCAGCCAGCACGCTCTCCCTTCGCTGCCCTTCCCCACCAAGGTAAGCGCCCGCGGGAACAGGTTGCCCTTACCTTGAGAGCTGAAGTTAAAAACAACGTACAGATGGGTATGGCTTTGTCTGAGGTGCCCTGAAGTGAGTCCAGACTAACGGCCTGCCGCAGGAATTACTGTTTTATAGGGTTGAATACTGATCATACGTATATTCCATATTTATATCAATATATTCTGTCCAGTTCCTTGGATGGCAGAGTAGTTTATAATCCCTCTTCCTGGCTGCTGTAAGCGAGCACAGCCAAGGACAGTCCCCACCACGGCAGCTGCTTTGAGTCTCAGCCCAGCTGCAGGCTGCACCATTTCTTTCAACGGTGCACAGTCCTGCGACCCTTCCATACACTCGGAAGCCATGGAAGTGCTTTTGCTGTCATCACCATTCTTCTCAGAAGAAATTGTTTGCCTTTATGTATGTCCTAAGAGATAACGATTCAGCAAAGCAGTTAAGGATGTGGGCATCTGTTGTGCTGACCCAGTGCCTAAACCAATACTAGACTGTGGCAAACGGAAACATGAAATGCAAGTGGATTGCTAAAATATGGAAAATAAAAGCTATTTACAATAATTTTTCACAGTGTGGTGAGTTAAATGGCACAGTTTCATAGCTAAGATTTCATTTTGTTTATGATCTGGATATTTTTTAACTCTTTCCATCTCTACATGTAAGAGGCACCTACACTCCTCGTGCATTGCTGAGCGTGATTTCAATTTAAGCGCATGAAGAAAACAGGATTGCTGTGCCATAAAACTGCCAACTGTTGCTACTACTGCCTAACCAGACAAAACCCTCTTCACTCATCACAATGGCTGGTACTAAGGAGCTGGCATAGCCATTAATAGTGGTTACTGCACATTTCCCATGTCCTTTTCCCCCAGAATTTTGTGTTCCGAGTCCCATTTTTATACGTTTTTAGTTTGAGCGTTTCACCCTTGCTGCAAGTTTGTAAGGGAAATGGGTTTACCACTGAAGTTGGTGCCTTTTAAAGTCCTTTATGTGTTACACTGATGTAAAAAAACCACCTCACACCTCCTACCTTTTGCTCAGCTGCTCTTTAGTTCCGCGAACTGACAGTATTTGTCTAGTGATGTGTGTTTCACTCAGTTGTAGATTTTTGTGGCTGAATAAACAGGTATCACACAACATAACTACACATTTTTCTGTTTTGTTTTATTTTTTTTGTTTGTTTGTTTTTTTGTTTGTTTGGTTTTGGTGGGTTTTTTTTTGGTTTTTTTGGGGTTTTTTTGTTTTTTTTTTTCTTCTTTCCTGGAGCTGAGCTCAGCCTGGTTCCACGAGCATTTAACGCACATGAGTGTCTCATCCTTCTCTCCACGGCCACCCCGCCAGCTGCAGCCTGATTTCCTTTCCCAGGTACTCCAGTTCTTAGGACGTTTCCCAGCCCTGAGTGACTGCTGAAGATGCAGGTTGTGCCCCAGTCGTTCAGGGACCGGCAAATTTAACTGCTGGGGGAGAACAAGTCACAACAAACACACAGTCCTCTGCTTCCCGTGATAGCAGAACTGTTTTTGACTGTTTTGGGGAGGATGGGGGGGTGTGTATAGCTGAAAAGAGATTGAGGCTTCATCTCCCTGCCAAAGAAAGACTTCAACTTTTGAGTTGGCCTGGTTTCACACCTCCATACGATGCATGTGCAAGAGCGCGCGCATGTGTACTTGCGCTTGCTACTCCTCTTGCCCTC